GCTTTTCACCGTAGCTGCCTCGGACTTTACTCTGTTGACTACTACTCTCTGTGTTCTGTTAGTGAGGAGTTATTTTCATGTGCAAATTTGAGACTAGTCCTAGGATTTTCCAAGTGTATATTATGATGTAACTTTCTCACCTGCATACCAGGGAGTACACATGAAGGAATTTCAAATGTTCCCATTAATTTAGGTGATTTATTGTACTTATACATGCTGTGAAAGTTCTCTGTACATTCTCCAGGTCTGCAATTTCTCCTACTTTGAAAGAGGACGTTAGTGTGTATCAGTATTCCAGTGCAGAGAGAAAAAGCGATCTGCAGAGAATCATCATGGGCTTGGCATCTCTAGTTTTGAAGGTTCTCATTATCCATCATATCATTTTCCTTGCAAATGTAGTAGATACATTGTTGTGATGTTTGAAAGTGAGATTCTTTGTCATTATCACTCCCAGGTCCTTCACACTTGTTATTCACTCTTTTGTATGATTGAAATTTGTTTTATACTCCAATACACTTTTAATTTCCTCTAGTTTTCCATATCGAATTAATTGAAATTTCTTTTCATTGAACTATGTGTTGTTTTCTGTGGCCCATTTAAAGATTTGGTTGATGTTTGCTTAGTCTTGCAATGTCATCGATGGATGACACCCTCAAAGTATGTGTATTATAGTACAGGTTGGCCGTCACTAATCCAGCAATCAGTTATCCTGTTCCATCATTAATCCAGCACCAATTTCGACTAGCATAATTTCAGATTTCATCATTATACTGATTCCAATCATTATTCTGACTCAAATTTCATCATTATACTGACTCAGAAATTGTCCAGATAGTTGTATATCCACAGCAGGAAGCCAGTGGAGGAGAAAGCAGTGATGAAAATGAGGAAGATGTATCAGAAGAGGTTAATTAAGTGTATTCTTACCTAACCATTCCATAATCCGGCAAACTCACTAATCCAGCACACTACAGCTCCCAATGATGCCAGATTAGTGATGGCCAACCTGTACTGTGTAGTATAGTACTCTGTAGTATGGTATTTTGTAGCATAGTATTGTGTAGCATAGTATTGTGTAGCATAGTATTGTGTAGCATAGTATTTGTGTAGCATAGTACAGGTGGCCCTTCAGGTTCGCGAGGGTTAGGGGATCAAGAACCTCGCTAATGTTGAAAATTCGCATATGTTTGGTGCACAAATATATTGTAGGGAAATATAATAATAGTACACCTACCATCTGATTTACGACTTGCTTGATATATGACCACTCGACTTACGACCGTGTTTTATATGCCAAATTTCTGGGAAATAAACAACTGTTTGTGTTGTACACAGTGTTTATTCTAAACCTTACAGTATAAAATACAGTACTAACAGCATAAAAAGTAAAGTAAAATATTAAATACCAAAATAAAACAAAAATAAAGTCATTACAAAAAATGTGATGTTGATATTCAGTAGTAAGGTTCGACTTACGTCCATTTCGACTTACGACCGGTTGCTGGGAACCAAGCTCGGCCGTAAGTCGGATGGTACCTGTATTTTCTTAGCCTAACAATAATGCTTCCTTAACCTATTGAACCATGAACAATCATAAAACACATGAAAACATCGTAAAACACATACATGTTATGGTCTAATAACAAATAATGAACAAACAAAACACTCACCACCTGTAAGATTAGGCAGACGAACTCTGATGACTTGTGATGATAATGACGATGATGATGGTGATGATAGTTAGCCATCCAGTTACTGATGACATTTGAATGGAGCTGATTATATGGAGTGTAACTGAATGACATGATGAGTCTAACGTGTGGATTCTAACTCTTCACTGCCAGTGTCACTGCCGATAATAGGTGGTGAATCATCGACATCACTAGAGTCAGAGTTAGCAAGGGGAGTAGTGGCAGGCTTCCTTGTAAAGAACATTGTGATGGACAACTGAGACTGTTTCCTCTTCATATCTACAGAGTTTTGTAGGGAATTATACTCCTGTCAATGTCATTCATCACCTTCAAAGCCCTCAACATCGATGGGTTTGTTGTAAAAAAATTGGTTGAGCTGTGCTGTTTCATTGCTTGCCCTAGTTTTTCAAGGGTCATGGCTTGAGGTTGATTGACCTTAGCAACACTCTCCTCTTCTTCATCCTCATTCTCTGCCTGCACAGTCAACAACTCTTCATCATTTAAAGCCCAATTCTCTCACCTCACCCTCCTGCATGTCCTCGAACCCTTCACCACCAACTAGCCTTGCTAACTCCACAGTCTTCCTCATGGCTTTGTTAACCTTGTCCTGAGGACCAAATCCAACAAAATCACACACACACTCTGCCCACAAAGCCCTCCAACAACCCTTCCCTGTCTGAGTGTGCAAATCCTTGACACTCATGCACTATTGAGAGGCAGTCAGCAATGGTGAATTTCTTCCAGTATTGAGTCACACTTGTATCTGGATCTGCATCCAACACAGCATGGAGCCTTTGCATTGACCTTCATGTGTAGTAGGCTTTAAATGTAGCTATTACACCCTGATCAAGAGGTTGTATCAGGGAGGTTGTGTTTGGTTGGCTGGCTGCAGGCTGAGGGGGTAAGAGGGAGAGTAGTAGGGACATGGCAGGAAGCATAAATGTGATTGGGCGGCTTGGCATTCGCGAATGTTCGAAGCTTGTGAAAGCGAAACTCGCGAATGTGGAGGGCCACCTGTATTGTATACCTGGAGAGGGTTTCAGGGGTCAGTGCCCCTGCGTCCCAGTCTGTTACGAGGCCTCGTGGTGGATTAGGGCCTGATCAAGCTGTTACTGCTGGCCACAGGTAGACTGACGTATGAACCACAGCCCGTCTGATCAGGCACTGACTTTAGGTGCCTGTCCAGCATCATCTTGAAGACAGCCAGGGGTCTATTGATAATCCTCCTTATATATACTGGGAGGCAATTGAATAGTCTTGGGTCCCTGACACTTATTGTGTTATCCCTTATTGTGCATCAGTGTACTCACCTAATTGTGGTTGCAGGGGTCAAGACTCGGCTTCTGTCCCCGCCTCTTCACGTAGTGCTCCTAGGCCCTCTCTCTCCTTGCTCCATGAGCTTTATCATACCTTATCTTAAAGCTATGTATGGGTCCTGCCTCCACTACCTCACTTGCTAGGCTATTCCACTTCCTGTCTACTCTGTGACTGAAGAAATACTTCCTAACATCCCTTTAACTCATCTGGGTCTTCAACTTCCAATTGTGACCCCTTGTTTCTGTGTCCCCTCTGGAACATCCTGTCTCTGTCCACCTTTTCTATTCCACCCAGTATTTTGTATGTTGTTATCATGTCTCCCATTACCCTCCTGTCCTCCAGTGTCGTCATGCCGATTTCCCTTAATCTTTCTTCGTAGGACATTCCCCTTAGCTCTGGAACTAACCTTGTTGCAAACCTTTGCACTTTCTCTAATTTCTTGACATGCTTAATCAAGTGTGGGTTTCAAACAGGTGCTGCATACTCCAGTATTGGCCTGACGTACACGGTGTACAGTGTCTTGAACGATTCCTTACTAAGGTATTGGAACGCTATTCTCAGGTTTGCCAGGTGCCCATATGCGGCAGCAGTTATCTGGTTGATGTGTGCTTCTGGAGATGTGCTCGGTGGTATACTCACCCCAAGATCTTTCCCCTTAAGCGAGGTTTGCAGTCTTTGTGTCCCGCTGGATTCCATAATGTGGATTGGGTAATAACACTAATTTAGGCATTAATGAAGTTTTTAACACAGAATATATGAGAAGCGCCAAGCCTGACCTGTGTCTCCACTCCCTGTTCTTCGACTGACTCTCAAGATGATTCCTAGAGGGTGAGCAGGTTCAAAACATGCAAGGGTCAGCTGTAATAGTGAATAACAAGTGATTCACATGAGGGGCTGAGGGGCGGCACTCACGGTGCTCCAAGGAGCCTCTCATATGTGATGTCTTCAATGTCTGAACTGCTCAGGGTGAACACAAGGTCCAGTCTTGCTGGTTCATCCTCCCCTCTCTCTCTGGTAGTGTCCTTAACATGTTGATGCATGAGGTTTTCCAGTATCACATCCATCATCTTGGCTTTCCATGTTTCGGGAACCCCGTGTGGCTCCATGTTTTCCCAGTCGATCTTCCTGTAGTTGAAATCGCCCATAACCAGTAACTTTGCTCTGCTTGAGTGAACTCTTCATGCCACCTCGACCAGTGTGTCCACCATTGCTCTGTTGCTCTCTTCATATTCCTCTCTTGGCCTCCTGCAGTTCTGTGGATTATACATCACTGCAGTGACTACTTTATGTTCCCCAGATTGAAGTGTACCTACTATGTAATCCCTTCCTCCAGTCTCATCCATGCCTTCCATTTCCTCAAATCTCCATCGGTTTTTTACAAGCAATGCAACCCCTCCTCCCCATCTGCTCCTTCTATCCGCTTTCAGGATCTGACATCCTGGTGGGAAGATTGCGTCTGTTATTGTCTCAGTGAGTTTCGTTTCTATGACTGCTGTGATGTCTGGGGACTTCTTATTGATTCTTTCATGCCACTCCTCATATTTATTTGTTATTCCATCCGCGTTCGTGTATCAAACCTTCAACTTCTTTTCTAAAACTGTGATCCTGGGAGAAGATTGGGTTGGGGGATCGGGAGCCCTGGCGGGGGTCTACAGGGGGTTGCGGTGGGGGTGGGGGCAGAGTTCCTTTAGGGGATTTCTGTATGGGGGGGTTTGTGGTGTTGGGGGTGGGGATAGAGGGATCAGTGTGTGGGTGTTGGCTTAGATTGTTCAGTTGCCTTGGAGTTGTCGTGGTTAGAGTCCTTCTGCGGGTATAATGATATTTGCCTGTTAGAGCAGCACCAAGTAATCTTGGTATAGAGAATTAATGTACAAAGTGCTGTAAATGATTTCCAGGGTTTGACTGTACATTTCATTTTACTGTTTTATTTTTGTTTGTATTCCCTGCTACGTTTCCTGTAAATTCTATGCAATGCTTTTTTTTTTTTAACAGGATCATGACTATTCCAAGATATATAGAGTCAAAATGGCATGGGCAGGGTATGGCAGTGTTAAAATTTACATACAAAGATGATGATATGGAGAAGCATTCTGACAGACAAGTTGCTGAGGTGGGCAAGATCAAATGTTGTGTGTCCTCGCTGCACATCATGTAAGGAAAGATAGTGTACAGTATATAAACAGTAAACCCTTGATTTAGTGGACTAATAGGGAGAAAAGAATGGCCAATAATAGCAGTTGTGGATCGAGTAAAGATTTGTTTTCTGTAATTGTAGCAAAAACGGGAAAGTTTATACTGTAATCCACAAACCCAGTGGATTTTGCCCCCAATCTCTGAAGTCATTTAACCCTTTGACTGTCGAAGGGCCCAATCCTGAAGTTGCTCCTGGTGTCGCAAAATATTCGAAAAAAAAAAAATTATTTTTTCTTATGAAATGATAGAGAATCTTTTCCCGATTGTAAAGACACCAAAAAAACGAAATTTGATGGAAAACTGACGGAATTACGCTCTCGCGAAGTTAGCGACTTCGGCGATATTTAAAAATCGGCAATTTCGCCCACTTTGAGCCCTATTTTTCGGCTAATTCCGTTATTCCAGTCAACCAAACTCATAACTATTTCTTCAGAACTCTATTTTTTCTATCGATTGAGCACAAGAAACTGCCCATTTACCGATTTCAACTACCCAATAACATGGTCAGAAATTTGCAATTTGGCCAATTTCACGAAAATTAAAAAATACGACAATTTCAAATAAGTCCAGAATGAACAATGCAGACATTCCTGGCTCTAAAATAAGATTTTCTTTGTTCATCAGTCATGTCTCCAGGTCCCTGTGATATTACTCTTGCTTTTTATTTGAAATTTTATTCAAACAAAAAATAGAAGATTTACTGTTATGCAGACTACTGCTATACTGTAATAATTGTAAAAATTACATCAACCCATTCATGACTGCGTATTAGAATGGCTATTTGGACATTTATTGGACAATGACATCATTTTTTACTTTTGAACATTGGCAAAAATCAAACATTTCCTGTACTTTGTGCTCCATTTCCAGGTTCTTTTTATAGTAAAATTAATCAAAATCACCTCCATTTCTATAATATAGTTTCCATTCTATCAAATGAGACCCCTGAAAACGAGAATACAACCACAAATCCTATACGAAAATAGACCACAAAGTCGGCATTTTAATTAAAAAAAACGGTCGGAGTTTTTTTTTCTCATTATGCACTGCGTGCTCCAGGATTTTTTTTATGTGGTGCACACTGACCACACAGACCCATTCTCTCACATGTGGGCCTACTAGCTTTCTCCTGCCTGATTTGAAGCCGCTAGAATTTATGAGTATATATACGTCAAACACGGTACCTCACAAACGTATATATACGGCCGCGACAGTCAAAGGGTTAAATAGAGATCCATTAAATTGAGGATTTACTGTACAGTATATTCAAGATGTAAATTTTACTCTGTATTACTACAAGCTGTGAACATGATGGAAGGAATTTAAAGATCATTTAATCAATGTTATTAATTAATTATGAAAAATGTATTTGTTAATTACAGTATACAGTAGAGGAGTGGGGATATTTGCAATTTGGAGGGGTAGCTGAGCTGTAGTATAGATGTGTTTCTGGGAAGAAAGTAATGGAGTGAGTGATGGTGAAAATGTTTCTTCTTTTTCGGGTCATGCTACCATGGCGGGATGTGACCAGGGTATTAAAAAAACAAATCTAGTGGTATTTCTAATTATTTTTACCAATAAATATTTGATTTCATTTTGCTTAGTTTAAATTTTCTGTGTGCATTTCATAAGTTAAAGCAACTAAAAACAAAAAATTATTTATTGTTATTGTTTGTAAATAATACTGTACCATGTGCAGTACTGCTAACTGAGAGTAATTTTAACATAATGTTGAAGGCATTGATGCTCCTCAATGGGGTTATATTCCAATGAACCCATCCTAAGTTGACACCATCAAAAATCGAATATGAATTTGATGTAGTAGATAAATAAATAACTACTATCACTGAATAAACAAATAAAAAAATAATTATTGTAACTAAATACGTACCATTATTGAAAAGTAAATAAATGATTACAAGTTCAGCCTATCAATAAACGAACAGTACTGTAGGGCCCCACTTATATGGCAGGTTAGGTTCCAGGCCACCGCCAGAAAGCGGACATTGCCGGGAAGCTTATAAGTGCATATAAATGCCAGATAATAAGTTTACATTAACATATATTAAGTTAGCAATAGAACTAGGCATAAAAAAAAATGAAAAGTAAAATACACACACAGTACACTCATTATTTACCTCAAAATATTTGTAGTCTTAATGTAGGACAAACGATGAGTAGTATTTATTGTAAGAAGTCGAGTGTGGTAGGTGTGGTAGCCCTCCTGGCCACTCCACCCACACGTAATATACTATGACATTTAAAGTACCCTAGAGTGATAAAATACATATACAGTACAATCATTACTTACCTTAAAATATTTGTGGTCTTAATGTAGGGTGAGAGGTGACAAGTATATACAGGTCCACATCCCTTTATCCGAAACCATTGGGGCCAGTATTGTTTCGACTTTTAGATTTTTTCGAAGTTCAGAATGATTCTCAACGCCGCCATGTGGCGGCGTGACCCAGGACTGAGATGACTGACTCTCCACAACCTATGAAAAACCTTTGGTTTTTGGAACTTTTCCAATTTCAGAATTTCTGATAAAGGGTTGTGGAACTGTATTTGTAGAAAGTCAGGTGTGATAGGTATGGTAGTGTGCCTGGCCACTCCACCCACACGTAATATACTACAACATTTAAAGCTCCCTAGAGCGATAAAATGCATATAAAGTGCACTCATTACTTACTTGTACTGTACAGTACAAAAAAAAAAAAGTTTTACAGCACATTGACTTGATTACCTAAGAATGCTATAGTTACAGTACATGTAGTGATATGTTGCACTGGTACTCACCATTAATATAGTCAGCTGAAAGTTGATGAATGCTGAATGTGCATCGCTATCACACTATTGTAAAATCGAAATATCATCAGTCGAACCATCGTAAAGCAAGGATCATCTGTAGTTTAATGTATAATGTGTAGTTGTGTACAGGCAAAATGATAAAGCTGGCTGATCTTGAGGAACTATTGAAGGAATATATGTGTAAAAGTTGTAATTGTTGTTAACTATGTTTGGTTGTCCTATACTGTAACACCAGTACAGTGAATCCTTAATTTAATGAATGGTGGAGTGTGGGTAGCAGATAATGGCAGTTGTGGTGGATAAAGATGAAGTTGTTGTGCCATGATCGTAACAGTACTAGACAGTTTTATAACCAACAGACTGTTGTTTCTAAATCAGTTGACCCAGCTGATTTTGTTCATTACGTATTTCCAAAGTCTGCTAAATTAAATATTTATCTCTTATTTTATTGGATGCTTGCTGATATCATTGCTACAGTGAGCTTTACTGCATTAATAGTAAATGGTATATACTCCTAAATGTTGTACTCTTGCTGAGTATTGTAAACATTGGCTGCTTGATATATCTGAGGTGATTTTCTGTTGACAGGGAATATGCAAGGAAACCTTCAATAGATGCTGATGAGTCTAGAGGTGATGAAGCATCTCAGAATTCCAGTTCTAGTGAGCAGCAACTGCCCAGGAAATGTTGTGAAGCAAAGGTAAATATAATAATAATAAGTTTATTTTGACATGATACATGGTTGTACAAAGGAATATAATAGTTGGGTGTACATGCCAAAAGCCCCTTTGTATGCAGAGCATTTTGGGCAAACTTAAAATTAACTTAAAATTAATATGGCAATAGCAGTTCATATGGTCATTAGATGAGTTACAGTGAGTACAAGAAAATTGAGTATTATTAATAGGTAATGCTTTGTGGCTTTAATAAGTCTAGTAGAGAAGTTCAGTAGAGAATAATTACAGTATTTAATTAGTTTATAAAAATTACAGTATTACAATAGAACAATTTAAACAATTTACAATATGATGTATTACAATTTAGTACAGTACTATTTAAAACAATGAAATTTAAACATCCTAATTTTGAAGTAATGAGTAAATGAGCAATCCTCAGCACAATATGCAATAATGAAATTGAAACAATTTTAAGTTGAGCAGTCTTAAATTATTTAGAAGTTTATTTTTGAGTGACTGGTAGGTATTAAGTACAGTTTGTCTGGTTAATTTTGTGTGATGAGGTGATTTCTAAGTAGGGCCTTTAACTGATTTGCAGAAAGGGGTCCTTCACTGTGTTCTGGCACTGAATTCCAGATCTTCGGGCCCTTTACGTGCATAGCATTTTTACATAGGGAGAGATAGACACGTAGGATATCGAAGAGTGATTTGTATCTCGAATTATGGCTGTGTGTTCTGATAGTTATTAAGGAGGAGTTTGAGAGGAGGGTTTATATTTGAGTGTAGTGTTCTGTGTATGTAGTAGGCACAATAATAAGTGTGGATGTTTTGATATTAAGCAGATTAAGACTTGAAAAGCAGTGGAATATTTTGTCTAGTGCAGGATTTAGTAATCAATTGCACTGCCTTATTATTTGCGTTCCACAACATACAGTCTATTCTTGACGACATTAGTTTTCTTAAACACACTGGGATTTTCTGAATGATACATAAGTAAAGGCTTCACTTTAAAATCACCACTAGCATTAGCACAGAATAAAAGAATTAGCCTATCTTTCATATGCTTGTGTCCTGGGAGTGCCTTTTCCTCCTGAGTAATGTAGGTCCTCTTTGGCATTTTCTTCCAAAACAAGTCTGTTTCGTCACAACTGAACACTTGTTGGGGTTTGAATTTTTCAGTGTCTACGTAAACCTTAAACTCCTGTACAAACTTCTCAGCCGCCCGTTTGTCTGAACTGGCTGCCTCACCATGCCTTACAACATTGTGTATGCCACTATGCTTCTTAAATCTGTCACACCAGCATCTGCTGACCTTAAATTTACTATTAGCACTGGTTCCAGGAGTTTTCTGTACCAGATTGGCATGCAGCCTCCTTGCCTTTTCACAAATAATCGTCTCTGAAAAACTATCACCTGCCATCTCTTTATCCTTGATTCACACCAGCAACAACTTCTAAACCTGATTGATTGTCTGTGGTCTTTTTTTGGTTAGCATATTAACGCCTTTCGCAACATCAGCTTCCTTGATTTGTTCTCTCTTTGCCAGGATAGAAGCGATGGTCGACTTGTTTTTCCCATACATCCTGGCAAGCTCAACAAGTCGCACACCACTCTCGTACTTTTGTATTACTGTATTTCCTTCTTCACATCTATGGTGTTTCTCACTTTCTTTACCACAGGGGTACCACTAGCAAGTTTCTTTGGGCCCATGGTAGCTAATTTCACAGTCCCACAAGCACTAAACATAATGAATTAATCGTAAAATGTTTGAATGAGACCACAGGTTAGTGTTCATTCAAGCATCAACAAAGCCAGACTGGCTCACTGCGCCTGCCTGGGGACTCTGACAGAGCGGGCTGGCGGACAGGTCTGGTACCCGGCAGTTCGAAAATAGGGGCGAGTTCAATAATAGGGACAAAGTTGGTTCGAAAAAAGCCCGTCAATTTTCGAAGTGATACGTTCGAAATTTGAGGTTCCACTGTAATACGTAAGTATGTACTAATAATAATGACAATAGTACATAATAATAATTTTTTTTTTTTTTTTTTTTTTTTTTTTTCAACAAGTCGGCCGTCTCCCACCGAGGCAGGGTGACCCAAAAAAAAGAAAGAAAATCCCCAAAAAGAAAATACTTTCATCATCATTCAACACTTTCACCACACTCGCACATTATCACTGTTTTTGCAGAGGTGCTCAGAATACAACAGTCTAGAAGCATACACATATAAAGATACACAACATATCCCTCCAAACTGCCAATATCCCAAACCCCTCCTTTAAAGTGCAGGCATTGTACTTCCCATTTCCAGGACTCAAGTCCGACTATATGAAAATAACCGGTTTCCCTGAATCCCTTCACTAAATATTACCCTGCTCACACTCCAACAGATCGTCAGGTCCCAAGTACCATTCGTCTCCATTCACTCCTATCTAACACGCTCACGCACGCTTGCTGGAAGTCCAAGCCCCTTACCCACAAAACCTCCTTTACCCCCTCTCTCCAACCCTTTCGAGGACGACCCCTACCCCGCCTTCCTTCCCCTATAGATTTATATGCTTTCCATGTCATTCTACTTTGATCCATTCTCTCTAAATGACCAAACCACCTCAACAACCCCTCTTCTGCCCTCTGACTAATACTTTTATTAACTCCACACCTTCTCCTAATTTCCACACTCCGAATTTTCTGCATAATATTTACACCACACATTGCCCTTAAACAGGACATCTCCACTGCCTCCAACCGTCTCCTCGCTGCTGCATTTACCACCCAAGCTTCACACCCATATAAGAGTGTTGGTACTACTATACTTTCATACATTCCCTTCTTTGCCTCCATAGATAACGTTTTTTGACTCCACATATACCTCAACGCACCACTCACCTTTTTTCCCTCATCAATTCTATGATTAACCTCATCCTTCATAAATCCATCCGCCGACACGTCAACTCCCAAGTATCTGAAAACATTCACTTCTTCCATACTCCTCCTCCCCAATTTGATATCCAATTTTTCTTTATCTAAATCATTTGACACCCTCATCACCTTACTCTTTTCTATGTTCACTTTCAACTTTCTACCTTTACACACATTCCCAAACTCATCCACTAACCTTTGCAATTTTTCTTTAGAATCTCCCATAAGCACAGTATCATCAGCAAAAAGTAACTGTGTCAATTCCCATTTTGAATTTGATTCCCCATAATTTAATCCCACCCCTCTCCCAAACACCCTAGCATTTACTTCCTTTACAACCCCATCTATAAATATATTAAACAACCATGGTGACATTACACATCCCTGTCTAAGACCTACTTTTACCGGAAGTAGTCTCCCTCTCTTCTACACACCCTAACCTGAGCCTCACTATCCTCATAAAAACTCTTTACAGCATTTAATAACTTACCACCTATTCCATATACTTGCAACATCTGCCACATTGCTCCTCTATCCACTCTATCATATGCCTTTTCTAAATCCATAAATGCAATAAAAACTTCCCTATCTTTATCTAAATACTGTTCACATATATGCTTCAATGTAAACACCTGATCTACACATCCCCTACCCACTCTAAAACCTCCTTGCTCATCCGCAATCCTACATTCTGTCTTACCTCTAATTCTTTCAATTATAACCCTACCGTACACTTTTCCTGGTATACTCAGTAAGCTTATTCCTCTATAATTTTTACAGTCTCTTTTGTCCCCTTTCCCTTTATATAAAGGGACTATACATGCTCTCTGCCAATCCCTAGGTACCTTCCCCTCTTTCATACATTTATTAAACAAAAGTACCAACCACTCCAACACTATATCCCCCCCTGCTTTTAACATTTCTGTCATGATAATACATAATAATACAATAATAATAATTATAATAATAATACTATGTATGTACTTTGATGATGAAAGTATTTTCTTTTTGGGGATTTTCTTTCTTTTTGGGTCACCCTGCCTCGGTGGGAGACGGCCAACTTGTTGAAAAAAAAAAAATGTACTTTGTATAATTTAGTTTGACAACACCACCACAATGCTCATCACTGCACATGTGCTTATGGAGCTACCCTCGCAGTGCAAGGAATTCTCGTGATTTCCTTACATTTCGTGCAGTTAATTCGCCAGATTTCTTTCTTCTGACCATAGGTCTTAAGGAAGCAATTACAAAGGACAGTGCCAAGAAGAAAAAGAGGATGATTTTCTTGGAATTAAAGCAAGAAATGATTAATAAGCACAGACTAGGTACGAGGGTTGAGGACTTGGCGAGTTGAGTACAAGTGTAGCCCCTCTATTATATGTACCTATGGGTTTAGCACTTCCTCATGATAATAATAATAATAGTCTACTATATGTGCAATACTAAAGCAGGAGTCTATAAAAGCTATAGCACCAGCAAAGGGTGTTACAGTAATTGTTGACATGGTTGATGGAGAAACAGCTCACAGGAGATATGTAGTGTAGTGAGATATGCATAAAATTTGTACATAGCAGCCCTTAAGAAAAGTGTGAACTCCTAACAGGATATGCCGCTCTGCATTTCTTCTCCAAGATATGTAAATGTCATATGTACACCAGATCTAATTCAGTTAACTTCACAAACTCCGTTTTCTCTTATAACACCTCTGACGTTTTCATAGCTAGGATGTTCGACCACAATCCTCCTCCCTCTGCTGTCCACATGATGACATATTTTATTCATTCTAGAGTGTATATCAGGTTTCTATCTTATTTATATTGTTTATTATGTCATATTAGATGAATTGTGACAGATAAATAAGCCGTAGAGTTGATATTAGGGTTATTTTGTCATGCCTCCTGAGAGCAGGACTTCAGCTGGAACGAATTAATTGCATTTCAATTAATTTAATCCCTTGACTGTCGCAACTCCAAATCCTGAGGTGTCTCCTGGTGTCACAAAAATTAAAAAAAAAAAAAAAAAATTATTTTTTCTTATGAAATGATAGAGAATCTTTTCCCGATGGGAATGACACCAAAAGTACGAAATTTGATGGAAAACTTGTGGAATTACACTCTTGCGAAGTTAGCAACCTCAGCGATATTAACGATTCGGCGATTTCCCCCACTTTGAGCCCTATTTTCAGCTAATTCCATTGTACCAGTCGACCAAACTCATAACTATTTCTTTAGAACTCCATTTGTTCTATCAACTGAGTACAAGAAACTTCCCATTTACTGATTTCAACTACCCAATAAAGTGGTCAGAAATTGGCAATTTGGCCAATTTCACACAAATTAAAAAAATATGACAATTTCAAAATAGGGTCCAGAATGAACAATGCAGACATTCCTGGCTCTAAAATAACATTTTCTTTGTTCATCAGTCATGTCTCCAGGCCCCTCTGATATTACTCTTGCTTTCTATTTTGAATTTTTATTCAAACAAAAAATAGAAGATTTACTGTTATGCAGACTACTGCAATGTTGTAATAATTGTATAAATAATGTCAACCCATTCATGACTGCATATTAGAATGGCTTGGACATTTATTGGACAATGACATCATTTGTTTGCTTTTGAACATTGGCAAAAATCAAACATTTCCCCTGCTTTGAGCTCCATTTCTAGGTTATTTTCATAGTAAAACCAGTCAAAATCACTCTATTCCATTCTATCAAATGAGACCAAGAAAACGAGAATACAACCATAAATACTACATGAAAATAGACCACAAAGTCGGTGTTTTAATTAAAAAAAAACAGGTGGAGTTTTTTTTTTTCTCATTGTTCTCTGTGTGCTGCAGGATTTTTTTTTATATGGTGCACACTGACCACACAGACCCATTCTCTCACATGTGGGCCTACCAGCTTTCTCCTGCTTAATTTGAAACCGCTAGAATTTATAAGTATATATACGTCAAACACAGTGGCTCGTCAGACGTATATATACGACTGAAACAGTCAAAGTGTTAAATAATGAAAATTGTTTGGATTTGAAACAATGTCATTGATGGAGAGACAAAAGATAAGAAGAGAAGTAGAAGGATGCAGTAGAATATGTATCAAAAGTAAAAAGAAAAAATAATTGATCTCATGCAAAAGATTTTTATTTTGCAGTAACAAAGACAGAGGTAATGGCAGGTATAGTAGATGGCATGTAAAATTGGATTGTGAGATTTTGGCAAAGAATATGAAGAATGAAAGTGGAAGGTTGATTAAAAAAAATGAATGCTGAATTCTATGTGCATATGCTGTACTAAGAAGAGTAGGACACAGTCTGTCCTTGCACTGCACATAATGAGAGAATGGTTTCCAGTAATATAAGTAATATATGTCTATCTCATACTGCCAGATATTATCTTTTCATTTATGTAATTTGGTTATTGGCAGTTAACTACATACACATTTAGATCAATTAAGGCAAGTTAAACTAATCTTCAGTAATCTTAAAATACTGTGACGAATATTTAATTTTGGTCTTGGCTTGGATCATTCACAGACACACACACCTGCATTAGAAAAACAATTGATGTAGAAACAAGACAGAAGGCTGGGCAACAGTAATAGGGTGCAGAGTATTTGTTGAAGAGTTATAGAAGAAACAAATTGTCATGTTGCTTCTGCAAACAAATACATAGAATTCATTTTTATGAACTTTATTTTTCAGATAGATGTTTGTCCTCCAGGAGTGTCTAATGACATATGGCAGTCCTGGCTGATGCACTGGGAGTCTTGGAAGGACATTTATATTCCTTTATCTTGGGTACATAAATATCGAGAACTCTGCAGTCCAGAGTATGTAGAATGGCACGATTCATATCTGGAAGAATATTCATGGATTATTCCGTATATTGCCGATGAATTAGGAGACAGCGATTGTGAACTAATAAATGTCAGTTACTTACATACAGAACAAAAGGATTTGGATGATGCTGTAAATGTAAAAGATGAAACCATCCAAAGTGACTGTAATCTTGGAATAACTGATTCTCATGATCAAAACATTAGTTGTGAACTAAATTTGTTGGAAAATAAGTCTCAACAGTATAATGAAAGTGAAAAATGTAAAATTGCAAAAAATAATTTAAACTCGCTTGCAGAAGTCCAGTATTTACAAGAAAACTCACCTGGTCAGAGTGTAGCAAATAAAAATATTAAGAAGGAAGTTCTAGACTCACTTTATGAAAAACATTCTGAAAAGAGGTACTGGGTTCACCTTCGTAATTTTTTGTATACTTATAATTTTGATATTGATGCTGATGGTGTTAATGATTTCTTCCTCCAGAATGCTGGCATACATTTTGATAGAAGCAGAATTCTTAACACTAATGAGCAAGAATTAGCAAATACAGTGGCAGATAAAAGTAGAACCATTGATAATTTTGCTGATCAAGTGGAGACTGAATATAATATAAAAATCAGTTTACAAGAGTCTACTGGAGAGTTGGATTATATAAAAACTGAAGAACAGAATGAGGGACATATTCTCAACAATGAGAATCAAATTCAGACCAATGAAACTAATGAATTAGAAGATATCAATGATGATGATATGAAGAAACATTATCATAGGACATCTTACGTAGAAAATAATTCAGAAATGTGTTTGAATGCAGCACAGTTTGAAAACAACAGCAATAAGCTTGTGAGCAGTGAACCTACTCAGGGTGAGGACACTAATGTTAATTGCAAATATTTAAATGTTTCTGAAACAAATCAGTCAGATGACCCAACCCAAGATGATGGAAGTGCTATAAAGAGTCTTGTGTCAGAACAGCTTGATCAGAAGAAAACAGATGCAGACTTTTTTACTGAGAAACAGTCGGAAGATGAGGCAATGACTCAGGTAAGATTGGATATTAATGAAACCAAGGAAGAGCAAACAGTGTTTGAAAATAGCACGTTTCCTTTTGCTCCATCTGGCGTTAAACACATTACGAAGAAAAAGAAGAAGAAGCAGCAGCAAGGGCTTTCCAGGTTAGAATTACCTTTTTATATGCAGTCTTAAAGGTTATAAATATTTTCATGGTTTTATAATTTAGAAGGGTATGATGTACAGTATTCAGAAAATTTGTCTAGTACAGTAGGGCCCCGCTTATACGGCAGGTTAGGTTCCAGGCTACTGCTGGAAAGCAGACATTGCCAAAAAGCAGAACACCATTTTTTCCACTTATAAATGCCAGATAACACATTTACACTAACATATATTAAGTTAGCAATAGAACTAGGCATTAACCCTTTCAGGGTCCAGAGGCCAAATTTCAAAGGGTACAACAGTGTCTAAGAATTTAACCCTTTGACTGTCGCAACCCCCAATCCTGAGGTGTCTCCTGGTGTCGCAAAATTTAAAAAAAAAAAATTATTTTTTCTTATGAAATGATAGAGAATCTTTTCCCGATTGTAAAGACACAAAAAAAAAAAAACGAAATTTGATGGAAAACTGACTGAATTACGCTCTCGCGAAGTTAGCGACCTCGGCGATATTTACAAATCGGCGATTTTGCCCACTTTGAGCCCTATTTTCGGCTAATTCCATTATTCCAGTCAACCAAACTCATAGCTATTTCTTGAGAACTCCATTTTTTCCATCGATTGAGTACAAGAAACTGCCCATTTACCGATTTCAACTACCCAATAACATGGTCAGAAATTTGCAATTTGGCCAATTTCACGAAAATTAAAAAATATGACAATTTCAAAATAAGGACCAGAATGAACAATGCAGACATTCCTGGCTCTAAAATAACATTTTCTTTGTTCATCAGTCATGTCTCCAGGCCCCTATGATATTACTCTTGCTTTTTATTTTGAAATTTTATTCAAACAAAAAATAGAAGATTTACTGTTATGCAGACTACTGCAATACTGTAATAATTGTAAAAATTACATCAACCCATTCATGACTGCATATTAGAATGGCTATTTGGACATTTATTGGACAATGACATCATTTGTTTACTTCTGAACATCGGCAAAAATCAAACATTTCCCCTACTATGAGCTCGATTTCCAGGTTTTTTTTATAGTAAAATCAATCAAAATCACCTCTATTTCTATAATATGTTTTCCATTTTATCAAATGAGACCAAGAAAACGAGAATACAACCATAAATATTATACGAAAATAGACCACAAAGTCAGCATTTTAATTAAAAAAACGGTTGGAGTTTTTTTTTCTCATTATGCACTGTGTGCTCCAAACACTGCTCGCCGTATAGCAAGTTTTGGTCATAATTTGAAATCACCGTATTAGCAGAATACCATAAAGTGAAATGCCGTAGAGCGGGGCCCTACTGTATTTACCAATTTTGATTATTTTTTCTTTACTAAGTAGTGTGATACTCATTATTTGTGCATTTATATAATATAGTACATATATTATGTCAAGAAACCAGTTAGCCAGACTTGAGTCCTGGAAATGGGAAGTACAGTGGTACCCCGAGTTTCGAACTTTCTTCGTTCCAGAAGGCTGTTCGAGTACTGTTACCTAACGAATTTATTCCCATAAGGAATAATGTAAATTAGATTAGTCTGTTTCAGACCCCCAAAAATACACTTACAAAAGCACTTACAATAATACACTTACATAATTGGTCGAGTTGGGAGCAGTTCAAAACTCGGGGTACCACTGTACAATGCCTGCACTTTAAAGGAGGGTTTTAGGATATTGGGAGTTTGGAAGGACATCTAAATTGTTGTATCTGAGGGCCTCTGCAAAGACAATGATTATGTATTAGTGTTGGTGAAAGTGTTGAATGATGATGAAAGTTTTTTCTTTCTTTTTGGATTTTTCTTTCTTTTTGGGTCACCCTGCCTTGGTGGGAAGCGGCTGACATGTTAAAAAAAAAAAATGTCAGTACATTATACTTTTTTATAACACTGTGTTAATGGGTTACATAATAAGGGGATTCTTGAGAGATGCTGCATCATCAGGATTATTTAAAAGTTATCCATTAACAGTGATATTTGAATGTACAGTTCTGAAAGTTATTTTTGTTTGTCCAAGTACATATGCAATTCTTAAACATTCTTTCTCTTTCAACACACCGGCCGTATCCCACCAAGGCGGGGTGGCCCAAAAGGAAAAACGAAAGTTTCTCCTTTTACATTTAGTAATATATACAGGAGAAGGGGTTACTAGCCCCTTGCTCCCGGCATTTTAGTCGCCTCTTACAACACGCATGGCTTACGGAGGAAGAATTCTGTTCCACTTTCCCATGGAGGTAAGAGGAAATAAACAAGAACAAGAACTAGAAAGAAAATAGAAGAAAACCCAGAGGGGTGTGTATATATATGTTTGTACATGTATGTGTAGTGTGACCTAAGTGTAAGTAGAAGTAGCAAGACGTACCTGAAATCTTGCATGTTTATGAGACAGACAGAAGACACCAGCAATCCTACCATCATGTAAAACAATTACAGGCTTTCGTTGTACACTCACTTGGCAAGACGGTAGTACCTCCCTGGGCGGTTGCTGTTTACCAACCTACTACCTAGGAATTCTTAAACATATTGGTACATATAAATTACTTTTTGTCTAGTTTACTGTCAAGTGTTGAGCACAGATTACTAACTAAATACTTTTACTTTTAGGCACACTGCAGGTCTTGGCTGGGCCCTAAAGTATATTCAGTACCAGGATGATGAGATTAGACAAAATGGGGATGATAACCAGTCCTTGGAAGGACCATCCATGTTTTCTGAGGATTTTCAAGAAAATGTAAACTTTGAAGCATCAGAAGATATTTCAATAAATAATGAGTTGTTATTAGATGAAAATCGTGGCTGTAGCAGTAATGAAGTGGATATGACTCAGTTTGAGGAGGAAGGAAGTATTGATGAAAACCTTAACAGTAGTGAAGGTGGCAGTGGCTGTGCAATTATCAACTTTCCTGAGAAGAATGACCATGTTTCTTCTGCAGAAAGTCCTGAAGATGTTGGTGATAAAGATCAAACGAAAACTGGGTTAACTAGTTCGAAGATAATTGCTGGTGTTGGAAGATTTGTGGCCACAAGTGTATTACACATCTTAGATACGATCTTTCCTGCTTTCCCAGGTGTGTATGCATGATGATAAAGCTGTCGACTATATGACCCTGAGTAAATTTTTTAATGTTAAATGTTTTTATGCTTGCAGTGACTTCAACATATTAGATAATATCTTACAATATGTTTTACTCCATTCAACCCAAGACTATTTAAATCAGATAAGCCTTTTTATGCAGATTATTCCTCATTATTATTGTCCCTCCTTTACAGTTGAAGAAATTTAGTTATTTTATTATATAATTTTATTATTAATCATTTGCATGCATATTTGTATTTTAGGATATGTATACTGTGTCTTCATGTCTCGTGTATATTTATTTGTGGCCACTATTCATCATTAACCCCTTGACTGTCGCAATCCCCAATCCTGAGGTGTCTCCTGGTGTCACAAAATTTAAAAAAAAAAAAAATTATTTTTTCTTATGAAATGATAGAGATTCTTTTCCCGATTGTAATGACACCAAAAAAACGAAATCTGATGGAAAACTGACTGAATTATGCTCTTGCGAAGTTAGCGACCTCGGCGATATTTACAAATCGACGATTTTGCCCACTTTGAGCCCTATTTTCAGCTAATTCCGGTGTTCCAGTCGACCAAACTCATAGCGATTTCTTTAGAACTCCATTTTTTCTATCGATTGAGTACAAGAAACTGCCCATTTACCGATTTCAACTACCCAGTAATGTGGTCAGAAATTTGCAATTTGGCCAATTTCACAAAAATTAAAAAATATCACAATTTCAAAATAAGGTCCAGAATGAACAATGCAGACATTCCTGGCTCTAAAATAACATTTTCTTTGTTCATCAGTCATGTCTCAAGGCCCCTCTGATATTACTCTTGTTTTCTATTTTGAATTTTTATTCAAACGAAAAATAGAAGACTTACTATTATGCAGACTACTGCAGTATTGTAATAATTGTATAAATAACATCAACCCATTCATGACTGCTTATTAGAATGGCTAGTTGGACATTTATTGGACAATGACATCATTTGTTTACTTTTGAACATTGGCAAAAATCAAACATTTCCCCTACTATGAGCTCGATTTCCAGGTTCTTTTTATAGTAAAATCAATCAAAATCACCTCTATTTCTATAATATGTTTTCCATTTTATCAAATGAGACCAAGAAAACGAGAATACAACCATAAATATTATACGAAAATAGACCACAAAGTCAGCATTTTAATTAAAAAAACGGTTGGAGTTTTTTTTTCTCCATTATGCACTGTGTGCTCCAGGATTTTTTTTATATGGTGCACACTGACCACACAGTCCCATTCTCTCACAACTGGGCCTACCAGCTTTCTCCTGCTTGATTTGAAGCCGCTAGAATTTGTGAGTATATATACGTCAAACACGGTACCTCGTAAGACATATATATACGGTTGCGACAGTCAAAGGGTTAAAAATGGTTGATCATTAATGAACCTTGCCAAATAAATTTGGTTATGGTTGAAAACTATTTACAATACAGTAATTAGATTTTTGGAAAGCTTGAGAAAAGTCTTAGTTAAAAATTAAGTTCAAAAAGAATTTCTATCATTATTAGCTAAATTGAGAAAAATACAGTATAGTCCACCTCTTTTTGAACATCACATGGTGGAGGTTTTAAAAGTGCCATAATCTTCTACATACATATTTCCATTCTTTTTTCAATTAGAAAATAATTTTATAAAATTTCTCAGTTGGGTATAAGTATAATGATAATGTGATAAGTTTCAGGTGAAATATTCAAGCTGCCTTTTCAAGTACTGTGGCCACTATTGTCTTCTACAGTATTATCCCGGGAGTCTCAGGAGCAGTCTCCTCTGTATAATACTGTTGAAACACTTGAAGAAAAACGGTTAGTAAAATTTTGTTTACCTTAAATGGTCACAAGTTAAACTTTACTACTGAATATCAACAAAACATTTTTGTAATGACTTTATTTTATTCTTTTATTTTTGTATTTCATGTTTTACTTTACTTTTTATGCTGTTAGTACTGTATTTTATACTGTAAGGTTTAGGATAAACACTGTGTACAACACAAATAGTTGTTTATTTCCCAGAAATTTGGCATAAAAAACACAGTCGTAAGTTGAGTGGTCGTAAGTCGAGCAGGTCGTAAGTCGGATGGTAGGTGTACGTCAAACTCATTGACTCGTAAGACATATATATATGACCGAAACAGTCAAAGGGTTAATGTGTAGCTGCACACCAGCACTCTGTGTAAGTTTACTTAGGTACAGGTACCTAAGTAAACTTACAATTTAGATAAAGAAAAATTGGATATCACATTGGAAAGAGGGAGTATGGAAGAAGTGAATGTTTTCAGATATCTGGGAGTTGACATGTCAGAAGATGGGTTTATGAAGGATGAGGTTAATCATAGAATTGATGAAAAAAGGTGAGTGGTGCATTGAGGTATTTGTGGAGACAAAAAACGTTATCCGTGGAAGCAAAGAAGGGAATGTATACACAAATAACCTGCACATAGAAGAGAGGAGCTTATGGCGACGTTTCGGTCCGACTTGGACCATTTACAAAGTCACAGTGTGACTTTGTAAATGGTCCAAGTCGGACCGAAACGTCGTCGTAAGCTCCTCTCTTCTATGTGCGGGTTATTTGTGTATCGTTCCAGTCACGGTATTGTGCCTTTTTTGTTATTTAACCCTTTGAGGGTCCGTCCCGTAGATCTACGGCTTTACGTTCAGGGTCCAAACCGTAGATCTACGTCATGAGCTCAGCTCACTGTGATAAACTGTGAGTGGTACATTTGGGCCTAGATATGAGAGAATACATCTATGTGGTATGTGTGCACCACATAAGAACATAAGAACGAAGGAACACTGCAGAAGGCCTACTGGCCCATGCGAGGCAGGTTCAAGTCTCCTACCGGCTTAAGCCAATGCACCCAACCTAGTCAGGTCAGGTCACATTGACTTAAGGGAGGAACACGGCAACCGACCTGGTAGCACAAGCTATCAGGTCCAACTCACACCCACCCACATCCACTCATGTATTTATCCAACCTATTTTTAAAACTACACAATGTTCTGGCCTCTATAACTGTACTTGGGAGTTTGTTCCACTCATCCACAACTCTATTACCAAACCAGTACTTTCCTATATCCTTCCTGAATCTGAATTTTTCCAACTTGAAACCATTGCTGCGAGTCCTGTTTAGGCTAGATATTTTCAGCACACTATTTACATCCCCTTTATTTATTCCTGTCTTTCATTTATACACCGCAATCATATCCCCCCTAATTCTACGTCTTTCTAGAGAGTGCAGATTCAGGGACCTTAGTCTATCCTCATAGGGAAGGTTTCTGATACATGGGATCAACTTTGTCATCCTCCTTTGTACATTTTCCAGAGCATTTATATCCATTCTGTAATACGGTGACCAAAATTGTGCAGCATAATCTAAATGAGGCCTAACCAAGGATGTATAGAGTTGAAGAACAACCTGAGGACTCCTATTATTTATGCTTCTTGATATGAAGCCAAGGATTTTATTAGCTTTATTGCGAACACTTATGCACTGTTGTCTTGGTTTCAGATTACTGCTAACCAGAACTCCTAAATCTTTTTCGCAATCCGTAATATTAAGATCTACATTATTTAGTTTATATGTGGCATGGTTATTGTCCTGTCCAACATTTAGAACTTTGCATTTGTCTATATTAAACTGCATCTGCCACTTCTCCGACCACTGCATCAGTCTATTCAAATCTTCCTGGAGTGCTCTAATGTCCTCGTCAGAATGAATTTGACGGCCTATTTTGGTGTCATCGGCAAACTTGCCGATGTCGCTCTTTATGCCCTCATCTATGTCGTTTATGTAGATTGTGAACAGCAGGGGGCCCAACACTGACCCCTGTGGAACACCGCTCGTGATGCTTCCCCACTCTGATTTCTCCCCATTTATGCAAACTCTCTGCTGCCTATTTGTCAACCATGCCTCTATCCAGGAAAAAATTTCTCCTCCTATTCCATGTGCCTTAATTTTCCTCAATAGTCTCTGATGTGGGACCCTGTCAAAGCCTTACTGAAGTCCATATACACAATATCATATTCATTACCATGATCTACCTCCTCAAATACCTTAGTGAAAAAAGTTAATAAATTCGTAAGGCAGGAACGCCCCTTTGTAAAACCATGCTGAGATTCGTTGATTAATTTATGCTTTTCAAGGTGGCTACGAACTGCCTCGGCAATTATTGATTCCATAAATTTTCCCACTATGGAGGTTAGGCTTATTGGTCTATAGTTCGAAGCTAAGGACTTGTCACCTGCTTTGAAAATAGGTATCACATTTGCCATTTTCCACTTATCTGGCACCATGCCAGTTTGTAGTGATATGTTGAAAAGATTAGCCAAAGGTTTGCTAAGCTCCTCTTTACATTCCTTTAGAACCCTTGCATACAGTTCATCAGGGCCTGGGGATTTGTTAGGTTTTAATTTATCTATTTGCCTAAGAACCATGTCACTTGTGACCCTAATCGTGCGCAGTTTATTATCGTCCTGTTCTACATAATTTCTCATTTCCGGAATATCGCTGGTATCCTCCTGTGTAAAAACTGAGAGGAAGTATGTGTTAAAAATTCTACACATTTCCTTATCACTGTCAGTGAGCTGACCCGAGGAACTTTTGAGTGGGCCTATCTTGTCCCTGATCTTACTTCTGTATACCTGAAAGAATCCTTTTGGGTTAGTCTTCGATTCTCTTGCAACTTTAACCTCATAATCTCTTTTTGCTTTTCTAATTCCCTTTTTTATTTCTCTTTAACTGAATATATCGATTTCTTAACTGCCCCTCTCCTCTTTTGATTTGCCTATATATGCCTCTCTTTTGACCACTCAGATATTTTAATCTATTGTTCATCCATTTAGGATCATTTTTGTTTGATCTGATTTCCCTATTTGGAACATAATTTGACTGAGCAGCTAGAACTATGCCCTGGAAAGCATCATATCGGCAACCATCACCACCTACCTGACCCTTAGTCAGGTCATTCCAGTTCAGCCCACCTAAGTAATTTTTCAGTCCTATGAAATCAGCCAAGCGAAAGTCAGGGACGGAGACTTGATTGCCATTATTAGGGGAATTCCATGATATATTAAAACTGAGTGATTTGTGATCACTTTCCCCAAGCTCATCATTAACCTCAAGATTATTAATTAGTGTTTCCCTACTGGCAAGAACCAAGTCAAGGAGGTTATTTCCCCTAGTTGGCTCTGTCACAAACTGTTTTAAAAAACAATCCTGGATCGTATCAAGAAAGTCACCTGACTCTAAATTTCCCGTCAAATTGCTCCAGTCAATCTGTCTATAGTTGAAATCTCCCATTACCACAACATTTTCGTATGTAGATGCCTTACGAATTTCGTCCCATAGAAGTTTACTGCACTCCCTATCAAGATTTGGGGCCCTGTAAATCACACCCAAAATTAGTTTTTCTCGGCCCTCGAGAAGCTGTAACCAAACAGATTCAGTGGCTAACGCTTCTACTTTTATATCTTGTCTAACACAACAATTTAAATTGTCTCTGACATACATCGCTACTCACCACCCTTCCTGTTGACCCTGTCAGTGTGGAATAATTTATAGCCTTGTATGTGACATTCAGAGGGCATCTCTCTATCTTTCAGATTGAGCAGGTCTCTGTTATAGCAATAATATCTATGTTTCCTGCACTTGCAATTAATCTTAGCTCATCTATCTTATTTCTTACACTCCTGCTATTAGTATAGTAAACCTTAAGGGAACTAGTCCCTTGCTGTCCTCTGCTGTCCCCCTTTGTTTGCTGACCTGATCTATTGTCTTTATTTATAACTTCATGCTGAATGCCTTTATACATTTACTGTTTCCAACCCTAGTGTTGCAACCTGCTTGTTTCCCACACACACCCATACCTCTATCTTCTACCAGTTTAAAATCATAGGCATTTCACCAATGGCCTTCTCAATTGAGTTTGCAAGTGCTACCACCCCAGCCCCAGAGAGATGTACCCCATCCCTTGCATACATATCATGCTTGCCATAAAAGTTGTTCCAGTTGTCAATGAATGGGATTGCAAGTTCCTTGCAGTATCTGTCTAGCCAGCAATTTACACCAATTGCCCTAGACAACCATTCATTTCCTACTCCCCTTCTAGGCAAGATGCTACATATGATTGGGACCCCTCCCTTAGACTTAATGAAATCTATAGCTGATCTGTACTTACCTAGCAGCTCTTCTCTCCTACCCTTCCCAATATCATTTCCACCAGCACTGAGACAAATAATGGGCTTGTTCCCATTACCTGACATGATATTATCCAGCCTGTTAACTATGTCCCCAACACCAGCTCCAGGGAAGCACACTCTATCTCTCATCTTCTTATTCCTATTACAAAAAGCACGGTCAATATATCTTACCTGAGAGTCACCAACCACAAGAATGCGTTTACCTCTGTTAGCAGGGGCAGTAGTACCCTTACCTTCACTGGCCACTGAAGTACATTCATCCTGAAGAACAGAGAAGCGATTTCCTACCTTCAGATCTTCACTCTTAACTTTCCTTATTCTGGTTCTCCTCCCATTACTGGTTACCACTCGCCACTTACAGCAGGTGCTGGACTGCACCTCACTGCTGGTAGCCGTTGCTACCTCCCCACCTACAGCCTCCTCACAGCGAGAGAGAGACTGCACCTCACTGCTAGAAGCCTCATTCCCCACAACTCCAGCCACCTCACACTCTCTCCCAGACCCATTGAGGTGGACCTTCAGCCTCCTAATCTCCTCCTGGAGAAGCAAGACCCCCTCCTTCAACTCTCCAACCTCAATTTTTAAAACACTGCAGAAGCAAGCCATGCTTAGTAACAGATCCTGCAGCACGTTGTGTATAATGAGAGAAAAAACTGAAATCATGATTTTTCGATTAAAACAGCGACTTTGCAGTGTTTTTTCGTATGTTTTTTATAGTTGTATTTGCGATTTCTTGGTCTCATTTGATAGAATGGAAGACATATTACAGAAATAGAGATGATTTTGATTGGTTTTAGCACTGGAAATGGCTTGAAACTGAGCTCAAAGTAGCAGAAATGTTAAATTTTTGCCGATATTCATGAGTAAACAAACGACCTCACACGTCTACTACACACCAGCTGGTGGGTCTAATATACATTCACAAATATGGTGATGATATTTATACAATTATTACAATATTGCATAACAGTAAATCTTCTATTTTTTGGTGTGAATAAAAATTCATTGTGAATAAAAAATCAAAATGGAATTTATTTGTAAAGCCTCAAAACGTAACTAATGAACAGAGGAAATGTTAGTTTAGTTCCAGGAATACCTACATTGTTTATTCTGGACCCTATTTTGAAATTGGAATATTTTGAACTTTGCGTTAAATTGGCCAAATTAACAATTTCCGATCACTTTAATTTGTAGTTGAAAAAGTTGACTTGGCGATTTCTTGTGCTCAATCGATAGAATAGAAGTAATACTAGTGAAATAGCTAAGAATTTGGTTGACTGGAATAATGTAATTGGCCTAAAATGGGAGTCAAAGTCGGCAAAATCGCCAATTCGTAAATATCGCTGACACATCAAAATTCGCGAGAGCATAATTTCGTCAATTTTCCATCAAATTTCTTACTTTTTGTTTTATTACCTTCACAAAAAGATTCTCTACCATTTCATAAGAAAACATAACAAATTTTTTTTTTTTAAATTCTTGGACACTGGGGCACCACTTCAGATTTGGGCCTTGGACCCTGAAGGGGTTAAGGGAATGTATGAAAGTATAGTGATGCCAACAATCTTATATGGGTGTGAAGCTTGGGTTGTAAATGCTGCAGCGAGGTGGTGGCTGGAGGCAGTGGAAATGTAATGTCTAAGGGCAATGTGTGGTGTAAATATTATGCAGAGAATTCGGAGTGTGGAAATTAGATAAGGTGTGGAGTTAATAAAAGTAGTCATAGGGCTGAAGAGGGGTTGTTGAGGTGGTTTGGTCATTTAGAGAGAATGGATCAAAGTAGAATGACTTGGAGAGTGTATAATTCTGTAGGGGAAGGGAGGCAAGGTACGGGTCATCCTCAAAAAGGTTGGAGGGAGGGGGTAAAGGAGATTTTGTGGGCGAGGGGCTTGGACTTCCGTAAGCGTGCGTGAATGTGTTAGATAGGAATGAATGGAGACGAATTGTTTTTGTTTCATGACGAGCTGTTGGAGTGTGAGCAGGGTAATATTTAGTGACAGGATTCAGGGAAACTGGTTATTTTTATGTAGCCGGACTTGAGTACTGGAAATAGGAAGTACAATGCCTGCACTTTAAATGAGGGGTTTGGGATATTGGCAGTTTGGAGGGATATGTTATATATCTTTATATGTGCTTCTAAACTGTTGTATCTGGGCGCCTCTGCAAAGACAGTGATTATGTATGAGTGAGGTGAAAGTGTTGAAAGATGAAAGTATTTTCTTTTTGGGTCACCCTGCCTCGGTGGGAGACGGCCAACTTGTTGAAAAAAAAAAAAAAAAAAAAATGGGAAAAAAAAAACTCATCCACCAACCTCTGCAACTTTTCTTCAGAATCTCCCAAAAGCACAGTGTCATCAGCAAAGAGTAACTGTTACAACTTCCACTTTGTGTTAGATTCTTTATCTTTTAACCCCATATATCTTGCCAACACCCGAGCATTCACTTCTCTTACAACCCCATCTATAAGTATATTGAAGAACCATGATGACATCACACATCCTTGTCTAAGGCCTACTTTTACTGGGAAATAACTGCAAACTACAAATGTAGGCAAAACATTTCAAAAGAATTTTTTTTTGAAGTGGACACTGAGAGCAATGTTAATTTTGGGGGTCTGGACAGTGTTTAATAATATTTTCCTCATTTTTTTTTTTTTACAGAAGGAATCATTCTGATAAAAAACAAAGGAAATTGTACAAGTGGTTGCGATCCCTGTCTTACTTTCCCCCATCTTCTACACTAAACCCTGTGGAAGGTGTTGTGCTGACTACGGTAAGTAAGAAGTAAGGAATGTGTGGTTAGCATAGAAATTAGTGTTACACTAATTTATTGATTGATGCTTTACGGAGATTGGTCACCATTTTTCATTTTTAGTTACCAACCAATTTTGTGGAAAATTCTCTAGATACAGGAGGGGCCCCAATTATGTGGTGGGTTAGGTTCTGGACTACTACCAAAAGGCAAGAATTGATGAAAAGTGAAATATAGCCTTTTTTCACTTTCAATTACATATAAAAGCCTGATAACATGTTTACACTCTCATATATTAAGTGCATAATAGAGCTAGGCCCCCCAAAATTATGCAAAAGTAAAATGAATATACAGTACACACATTACTTACCTTAAAATATTTTTGTTCTTAGCTTGTAGTGAGTGGTGATTAAAAGATGGTGTGAGGTTACAAAGTACAGTGGACCCCCGCATAACGATTACCTCCGAATGCGACCAATTATGTAAGTGTAATTATGTAAGTGCGTTTGTACGTGTATGTTGGGGGTCTGAAATGGACTAATCTACTTCACAATATTCCTTATGGGAACAAATTCGGTCAGTACTGGCACCTGAACATACTTCTGGAGTGAAAAAATATCATTAACCGGGGGTCCACTGTATATAATTCAGATGGCAGAAGAGAGGTTGTTGAGGTACTTTGGCCATTTAAAAAGGATGGATCAGAATGGGATGATAGATGATGAAAGGGTTAACTGAGGATGAAGGAGGTTTCAAGTGATGGGGGCTTGAGAATCCAACAGGCATGTGGGAGCATGTTAACATATTAGACAGAAACGAGTAAGTTTAAGAGTGTGATGTTCTGTTGGAGTGGGAATTCTTGAAAACTGGCTGACTGAACTTGAGCTTTAGAGGTGGGAAGTATAGTGCCTGCACTATGAAGGAGGGGTCAAGGATATTATTTTTTTTAGTGCATTACTATAGTGATATGAATTAATTCACTGTTTTAATTTTGAACTCTTCCAATCTTTTTACAGTTTTGGTTTTTGTCTGATATTTATATTTTGGGAATTGACACAGTTACTTTTTGCTGATGATACTGTACTTATGGGAGATTCTGAAGAAAAATTGCAAAGGTTAGTGGATGAGTTTGGGAGTATGTGTACAGGTAGAAAGTTGAAAGTGAACATAGAAAAGAGTAAGGTGATGAGGGTATCAAATGATTTAGATAAAGAAAAATTGGATATCAAATTGGGGAGGAGGAGTATGGAAGAAGTGAATGTTTTCAGATACTTGGGAGTTGACGTGTCGGCGGATGGATTTATGAAGGATGAGGTTAATCATAGAACTGATGAGGGGAAAAAAGGTGAGCGGTGCGTTGAGGTATATGTGGAGTCAAAAAACGTTATCTATGGAGGCAAAGAAGGGAATGTATGAAAGTATAGTAGTACCAACACTCTTATATGGGTGTGAAGCTTGGGTTGTAAATGCAGCAGCGAGGAGGCGGTTGGAGGCAGTGGAGATGTCCTGTCTAAGGGCAATGTGTGGTGTAAATATTATACAGAAAATTCGGAGTGTGGAAATTAGGAGAAGGTGTGGAGTTAATAAAAGTATTAGTCAGAGGGCTGAAGAGGGGTTGTTGAGGTGGTTTGGTCATTTAGAGAGAATGGATCAAAGTAGAATGACATGGAGAGCATTTAAATCTGTAGGAGAAGGAAGGCGGGGTAGGGGTCGTCCTCGAAAAGGTTGAAAGGAAGGGGTAAAGGAGGTTTTGTGGGTGAGGGGCTTGGACTTCCAGCAGGCGTGCATGAGCGTGTTCGATAGGAGTGAATGGAGATGAATGGTATTTGGGACCTGACGATCTGTTGGAGTGTGAGCAGGGTAATATTTAGTGAAGGGATTCAGGGAAACTGGTTATTTTTATATAGAGCCGGACTTGAGTCCTGGAAATGGGAAGTACAGTGACTACACTCTAAAGGAGGGGTTCGGGATGTTAGCAGTTTGGAGGGATATGTTGTGTATCTTTATACGTATATGCTTCTAAACTGTTGTGTTCTGAGCACCTCTGCAAAAACAGTGATTATGTGTGAGTGAGGTGAAAGTGTTGAATGATGATGAAAGTATTTTCTTTTTGGGGATTTTCTTTCTTTTTGGGTCACACTCAGTGGCTTGGCCCATTTTAATGTTATGTACAGTGGACCCCCGGTTTTCGGTAGGTGTGGAAATTGTACAATTCGGATTTCAAGCAATTTTTGGCGAAATTTTCCCCCGGGTTTCGTATATCCGCTCGGAAATCATTGGTACCAGACACTTGCGCCTGGGCCGCTCATATGTTTGTGACTCACTCTTAGGCACATTAAATGTCTCATTTTAAGTTAATATAGACATTTTCATTAATCCATCTATGATATTTTCTTGGAAATATAAACACTTAAGCAGTATAATGTGATCCTTTATTGACAATGTTTTGCCCACGCAGTGGGCTTTATCAAGTCACAAACAGACCAGTTTGTGACTTGATAAAGCCCACTGTATGGGCAAAACATTGTCAATAAAGGATCACATTATACTGCTTAAGTGTTTATATTTTCATTGTGTTGGTATTTTATACCATTTATTTCCATGATATTTTCTTCAACATTATATAAGAAACACATTACATAGCATATATACATGCAGTGTTTATATGCTATCGAGAGGTGGGGTCAGTGGAGGGTAAGCATAACATTTTCTCTGGTTCAGCTTCAGAGAAAATGTGTATGAATCTGCATTGGCCCAGTAACCGCCCTTGATACATAAGGCTTTTGTTTACAATTCTCAGCCTGAATTATTCATTACTTCTCCCTTTGTTTATGATAGCATCTAAAGGTAGTTGTTAGAAACGATTGAACTCAGTGAACATGGTATTTCGATGGTAATAATATGGCTGTGAGCCACAGTGTATGTAGCCGGAAGGTATATGCTTGGGATGTAGTCTGCCTGGTACTACAAATAAATACTACTCACCAACAAGAGTCTTCAATAAAGATGTGTAATGTTCATTTATCATTAAAATTAGTCATTTATATTTATTTCTCATTGTTTTCTCTATGTAAAACTATAGTTACTCTATAAAATGTATTTTTTGTTAATATTTTTGGGTGTCTGGGACGGATTAATTGGATTTACATTATTTCTTATGGGAAATATTACAGGACGGATTAATTGGATTTACATTATTTCTTCTGGGAAGTATTAGTTCAGTTTTTGGCCATTTCGGATTTTGGCCAACCTTCTGGAACGGATTAATTATGAAAACCGGGGATCTACTGTACTTGGCTTGGATAAAGTTGCAACATGTTGAGTGTATCACTGTAATGTTGTGTACTTGGTTTGGATAAAGTTGCAACATGTTGAGTGTATCACCATAATGTTGTGTACTTGGTTTGGATAAAGTTGCAACATGATGCGTGTATCATCATAATGTGTGAATCTCACAAAATATTAAATTATTGTTTTATTGTATTTTTTGTAAAATCACATTTTGTCTTTTTTGTACATTCAGCATGTTGTATTTTCTAATGTGTGGAAAGAGACATGTATGGACAGGTTAATACATTTAATAATGAAATGTAATGATGTGAGTGGCTTCTTCAGTCTTAATATAGACTCAGTAAGAACAAGTAGTGTATGTAGTGCATACAAGGAGTCAGGCAAACAGTGGGAAAAAAGTGGCATTATATAACAGAAAGGAAGAGTTAGAGGAGGTATATAGTAGTAAATAATGGTGGGAGTAGTAGCGTTAAAATTAGGCAGGACTAACAAAGCTTATCCCAGTATTACCATAACAGTTCAACCTCATTTTCTAATATTTTCTGTGAAATTTGCACTTTTGTATACTAAGTGTATAAATTAATAGTATTACTATCTTTTGTGATTGATTTTTTCAGTTCCATATACAACCTGAAGATAGAGAAGATCGAAGAGTTTATTATTCAGTGGAGAAGACTGTTGCGGATGATGGTACATCAATGTTAAATCTCCAGGCCTTGAATCTCCTTGAAAATATCCAAGTAAATAAAGTGCATTGAAGGCTTCAGTTGACTTACTAAATGATCTCAAGAGAGGAAATTCTTATAAACGAATGTGTGTGTGTGTGTACTCACCTATTTGTGGTTGCAGGGGTCGAGTCACAGCTCCTGGCCCCGCCTCTTCGCTGATTGCTACTAGGTCCTCTCTCTCCCTGCCCCATGAGCTCTATCATACCTCGCCTTAAAACTATGTATGGTTCCTGCCTCCACCACATCACTTTCTAGGCTATTCCATGGCCTGACTACTCTATGACTGAAGAAATACTTCCTAACATCCCTTTGATTCATCTGAGTCTTCAACTTCCAATTGTGATCTCTTGTGTCTGTGTCCCATCTCTGGAACATCCCGTCTTTGTCCACCTCGTCTATTCCGCGCAGTATTTTATATGTCGTTATCATGTCTCCCCTGACCCTCCTGGCCTCCAGTGTCGTCAGGCCGATTTCCCTCAACCTTTCTTCATAGGACAATCCCCGTAGCTCTGGGACTAGTCCTTGTTGCAAACCTTTGCACTTTCTCTAATTTCTGACGTGCTTGACTAGGTGTGGATTCCAAACTGGTGCTGCATACTCCATATGGGCCTGACGTAGATGGTGTACAGAGTCTTAAACGAATCCTTACTGAGGTATCGGAACGCTATCCGTAGGTTTGCCAGGCGCCCGTATCCCTGCAGCAGTTATCTGATTGATGTGCGCCTCAGGAGATATGCTCGGTGTTATACTCACCCCCAGATCTTTTTCCTTAGTGAGGTTTGCAGTCTTTGGCCATCTAAACTATATTGTGTCTGCGGTCTTCTTTGCCCTTCCCCAATCTTCATGACTTTGCATTTGGCAGGGTTAAATTCAAGGAGCCAGTTGCTGGACCAGGCTTGTAGCCTGTCCAGATCTCTTTGTAGTCCTGCCTGATCCTCGTCCGATTCGATTCTTCTCATTAACTTCACATCGTCTGCAAACAAGGACACTTCTGAGTCTATCCCTTCCGTTATGTCGTTCACGTATACCAAGAACAGCACAGGTCCTAGGACTGACCCCTGTGGAACCCTGCTTGTCACAGGCGCCCACTCTGACACCTCGTCGCGTACCATGACTCGTTGTTTCCTCCCTGTCAGATATTCTCTGATCCATTGCAGTGCCTTTCCTGTTATGTGTGCCTGGTCCTCTAGCTTTTGCAGTAACCTCTTGTGAGAAACTGTGTCGAAAGCCTTCTTGCAGTCCAAAAATACGCAGTCGATCCACCCCTCTCTCTCTTGTCTTACTTCTGTCACCTTGTCATAAAACTCTAGTAGGTTTGTGACACAGGATTTTCCTTCCCTGAAACCATGCTGGTTGTCAATTATACACTTGTTTCTTTCCAGGTGCCCCACCACTCTCCTCCTGATGATCTTCTCCATGACCTTGCATACTATACACGTTAGAGATACAGGTCTGTAGTTTAGTGCCTCATGTCTGTCTCCCTTTTTAAAAATTGGGACTACATTTGCCATTTTCCATACCTCAGGGAGTTGCCCAGTTTCAAATGATGTGTTGAAGATCTTTGTTAATGGCTCACACAATATCTCTGCTCCTCTTTAAGGACCCATGGAGAGATGTTGTCTGGTCCCACCGCCTTTGAGGTGTCAAGTTCGCATAGCAGCTTCTTCACCTCCTCCTTGGTTTATATGTACCTCATCCAGCACTTGCTGGTGTGCCCCCCTGTTCTGATTTCTTGGAGTCCCTACTGGTTTCCACTGTAAATACCTCTTTAAATCTTGTGTTGAGCTCCTGACATACCTCTCGGTCGTTTCTTGTGAATTCCCCATCACCCTTCCTCAGTCTGATTACCTGGTCCTGACTGTTGTTTTCCTCCTGAGTGGCTGTACAACAGCTTCGGGTCAGTCTTTACTTTTGATGCTATGTCATTTTCATATTGTCTCTGAGCCTCCCTTCTTATCTGTGCATATTCGTTTCTGGCTCTTCGGCTGATTTCTTTATTTTCCTGAGTTCTCTGTCTTCTGTACCTTTTCCATTCTCTAGTACACCTAGTTTTTGCCTCCCTACACCTTTGGGTGAACCAAGGACTCGTTCTGTTCTTCCCATTATTTCTGTTTGCCTTGGGAACAAACCTCTCCTCTGCCTCCTTGCATTTGTTGCTACATAGTCCATCATTTCTTGTACTGGTTTTCCTGTCAGTTCCCTCTCCCACTGAATGTCTTGAAGGAAGTTCCTCATGCCTGAGTAGTTCCCCCTTTTGTAGTTTGGTTTTTTCCAGCCTATTCCTGCTACTCTCTCCACTTGGAGCTCAACTATGTAGTCGAAGCACAGAACCACATGATCACTACTCCCAGGGGCCTTTCATACATATACCCTCGATGTCCGAACTACTCATGGTGAATACAAGGTCCAACCTTGCTGGTTCATCCTCTCCTCTCTCTCTGGTAGTGTCTCTAACATGTTGATGCATGAGGTTCTCCAGTACCACATCCATCATCTTGGCTCTCCATGTTTCGGGACCCCCATGGGGCTCCAGGTTTTCCCAGTCAATCTCCTTGTGATTGAAATCACCCATAACTAGTAACTTTGCTCCCCCCATGTGTGCTCTCCTGGCCACCTCGGCTAGTGTGTTGATCATTGCTCTGTTGCTCTTATCGTATTCTTCTCTTGGCCTCCTGCAGTTCTGTGGTGGGTTGTACATTACTGCAATTATCACCTTATGTCCCTCAGACTGGATTTTTCCTACTAAGTAATCCCTTTCCCCCCATGCCATCCATTCCTTCCATTTTCTCAAAACCCACTGGTTTTTTAATGAGCAGTGCAACTCCTCGCCTCCCCCTCTCCTCCCTCTGTCTTTCCTGAAGATTTGATATCCGATGGAAAGATTGAATCTGTTATATTTCTGGTGAGTTTTGTTTCTGTGAGTGCTATTATGTCTGGGGATGTCTCTTTGATTCTTTCGTGCCACTCCTCATACTTGTTTGTTATTCCATCTCATTTGTATACACACCTTCAACTTCTTTTCTAAGACTGTGGTCTGGGAAGTATATTGGGGTTGGGGAAGTGGGAGACCTGGTAAGGAACTATGGGTTGTTTGCTGTGGGGGTGAAGTTTGTAATGTAGTGGGTGGGGCATTGGATGTGGCATGGGTGTTTTGATTTAGAGTGTTTTTGGGTTGCACTGGGGTTGACCTGGTTGGAGGCTTCTATAGAAAGTTGTGAGGGAGGCTGTATTAGATCTTCTTCTGGGTCTGGGTCTCCTGTCTGTCTTCTCCATCCCCTCTCTTTCCTCCTTTCGCCTTTGTACCATCTCTCTCAGTTTCTTCCTTTTCTTCTGTGTTCTGTCGCGGTCGAGATACACCCTCCTGTATGCCGTCAGTCCCTTAATCGTGCTTTCCCTGCCAGTATCCTGGTCCGAGTCGCTTCTGCCTTGAAGGTCACTCTCACTGGCCGGGTTCTTTTTTTTTACAAACCCCCCTATTCTCCCGAAAATTTTCCAGCTGGGTCATATCGTCTTCTCCTATTGCTTTCATGATGCTTTCAATTGCTTTTTTTTTCCCCTTGTTTTCTTGCTTCATATGTTTCCCCTTCAACTTCCTGGAGCCCATACACAAAGACTGACCTCACCCTTTCATTTCTCCCACTGCATATCCCTGTGTATCCCCTCATTTAATTTGGTTTCCTCCACTGCAGCTTTTTCCCTTTTATCAGTTTCACTGGCTAATGTACTTGGCTCATGGCCTGTCATTTTCCCTTCTCGGGTTTCCTTGGGCTCTGTTGTTGTCTGTTAGGGCCTCCACATAAAGCTTAGCTCTTTCATTTGCTACAGTCTCCTCTGATAGACCATCTCCATGCAGTTGTGCCCCTTCTTTCCCTACAGTCCCCTTATTTGTGTGCTGAGGTAGCAGTCTCTGTTGTCAATCCCAAAATATTCTTTAGTTCTTTAGGCTGTTTCAGATTTTTCAGTTCCTCTTCTAAACTCTGTATCCTAGCTTCTGCTGCTTTGACATGCACCTCCCACTTCCTGCTTTCCATATCTAATCCTCTCTTCCATTCTCATGCTAAGTTCTTCTAGTTTCTTTTCCCATTCATGATCCCTTTTTATGAGCTCTGCTGCCCAATCTTCCTTTGCATTTTCCTCCTCCTGTCCTTGGTTTTTCTTGTTGCTCTCTGGCAACCCATTTTTGTTTTATCCTGATTGCCTCAGAGGGAAACCTATGTAGTTCTGTATGTTAGGGTTTGTAGTGTGTGTGTCAGAGTGTGGGGGGGGGGGAAGTAGTGGAGGAACTGTGGCTATTTGGGAGCTGAGTGGGGAGGGGTGGGGAGGGTTTGGGGTGAACGGGGGAGGGGAGGGTGATCGAGGGAGGGGATGGGTCAGGGGAAGTAGTGAGATGTCGTGGTGAGGGAGGGAGTGGGGTGTGTGTCTGGATATTGTGTGTGGTGTGTGTGTGTGTGTGTGTGTGTGTGTGTGTGTGTGTGTGTGTGAGTGTGTAATTTGTGTGTAATTTGTGTGTGGAATTATGTGTGGGTTTATTATGTACTGAAAGGTAGGTGGCTTGTGCGTTTAAGGTAAGTCTCAGTGGTCCTTGCTGCCCACAACCTTCTTGTGACCTGACCAACCTCCTGGGACTTACCGCACTTACAGTGTGTGTGTGTGTGTGTGTGTGTGTGTGTGTGTGTGTGTTGTGTATGTGGGTGTGTATGTGTGTGTGTGTGTTTGTGTGTGTGTGTGTGTGTTGTGTGTGTGTGTGTGTGTGTGTGTGTGTATGTGGGTGTGGGTGTGTGTATGTGTATGTGTGTGTGTGTGTGTGTGTGTGTGTGTGTGTGTGTGTGTGTGTGTGTGTGTGTGTGTGTGTGTGTGTGTGTAATTATGTGTCGAATTATGTGTGGGTTTATTATATGTCTGAAAAGTAGGTGGCTTGTGCTTGGAGTGTAATGTAGATTCTCAGTTGTCCTTGTGTCCACAACCTCCTGTGACCTGACTCCCTTGCAGTGTTGCCTATACACCTGCTTATA